GTTAAAAAAATTCGTTAACTTTATTTTATACAATTTTTTCCTTTTATAACTCGAAACCATCAGGGTAATTTGGAGTTCAAGTTCACTTCTTCCAAATCATTGGTGTAATAACAATCCAAGACACATCATTTTCATCATCCATTAACACAGTGTCACAGACAAAGCCGAGATCCTGCTTTCCTTATCATTCCGTTCTCCAACCACCACCATCGAATATTCTTTGACACACTCCCTCTTTTCATCACCTACCTCTGTCTCTCAAGTCTCAACATTCTGTGTTGATTGAAAGCTAAGTCTCTCTGACAAAAGGAGAGTGGAGAAAAACACCCTAGTGTGAATGTCAAGACAATATCAATGCCCACATGACTCTTTACTTCTAAACCCAGCAACATCCATGCCTCTGCTTCCTGGGTTTCCACCCTTTCTGCCAATGCCACTATTATTTGAGGGGTATTCAGTGTTCTCCTCATGATCAACCTGCTCTGGTGCAATGCGGGTTCAATTTGTTGCTCAGCTACAACCAAGGTTGTGTCTTTTTGGCTTGAGTCATTGGTTTGTATTCGGTTTTTGAAGAACCATGGCGTTGTTCAGGAAGTTCTTTTATAGAAAGCCGCCGGATGGGGTTTTGGAGATATCCGAGAGAGTCTACGGTATGCTATGTTTGTTCTGTACTTATTATAATTACTATTATTATTATTTAATAATAAGCAACATTTTTCAGTCCGGACAGCACATTAAAATGCAGTCTCAATTTGAAGTCTGGTGCTACAATCACCTTAGGTACCTTCAATGAATTAACACGAGGGAGGTGTTTTGTTAAGGGTAGTTTGGTAAATTTATAGTCCAGACTGCAGTTTTGTTGTGCAGTCCGGACTGAAGACACATTTTGTCATTTAAGTAGTCAGGTCAATGGAGACTAAGGCTTAGTTTAGTTGAGTTGTTACAGGAAAACAGATTTTCTTTTCTTATATATCTGGTTCCAATGGGTAGTCTGCAACAAATTCAACTAGAAAACTTGGTCTTTGTTGTGTTGCAGCAAATATTAAATTTGTAATTGCTGTACATTGCATCTTGATCTATATTTTACATAGTCAAAGTGTGCTCTGTGCTGTACATTTGCAGTCTTTGATTGCTGCTTTACCACGGACATTTTGGAAGGTGAAGAATATAAGGTCTACTTGAGAGGCATACTAGGTCAACTCCATGATCATTTTCCTGACGCTTGTTACATGGCGTTTAACTTCAGAGAAAGAGAGCACCAGAGCCAGATAGCTAATATATTGGGTGACTATGACATGACTGTAATAGACTATCCTTGTCAATATGAAGGTTGCCCATTACTTCCAATGAAGATGATCCTTCATTTCTTGAGATCAAGTGAAAGCTGGCTCACGTTAGCACAGCAAAATTTAATCTTAATGTATTGTGAACAAGGTGGATGGCCTGTTTTGGCCTTTATGCTTGCTGCTCTCATGATATATAGGAAGCAATTCATGGGGGAGCAGAAAACTTTAGGCATGATCTATAAGCAAGCACGTCATGAACTTTTGCAGCTGATGTCACCATTGGATCCATTGCCCTCTCAACTAAGGTACCTTCAATATGTCTCAAGGAGAAATTTGGAATCAGAATGGCCCCCATTGGATCGACCACTTACATTAGACTGTATTATTATAAGATGTATTCCTAATATGGATGGCGAAGGGGGCTGCCGTCCGATTTTTAGAATATATGGACAAAATCCTTTCATGGCTACTGAGAAGACTCCCAGGATTCTGTTTTCAACACCAAAGAACAGCAAACTTGTTCGGCATTACAAGCAGGTAGCTCTATATTTTATTTATATGATGTCTGTTATGAAAATGCATTGAGATTTGCCCTCTTTTTTTATACTTAATTTCCACCCTTTTTCCCTCACAGGCAGATTGTGAACAAGTTAAAATTGACATCCACTGCCATATTCAAGGTGACGTTGTGCTGGAGTGTATTAGCTTGGATAGTGATCAAAAGAGGGAATCAATGATGTTCCGTGTCATGTTCAATACAGCCTTTACAAGATCAAGTATTTTGATACTTAACCGTGATGAAATTGACATCTCATGGAATGCTAAGGACCAGTTTCCAAAGGAATTTAGAGCAGAGGTATCAATTTTTCCTCTTTCTTCCTTATATTTGTTACTTTGCCATAATGAAATTTATTCTGTTGATAGAGGATTCATATTTCAAGTCTGGATGAAGGTTATTTTCTCAGATATGGATGCTCCAACTTCTATTATTTCATTTGATAAGTTGGGTAAAGAAAATAAAGATGGTCTCTTTGAGGAAGCTTTTGATAATGTTCAAGAGTTTTTATGCAATGTTGATTGGGTAGATCAGAAGACAGACATAGCAAATGTGCTTCATCATATCTCAGTATCAAATATGCTGCAAGAGAATTTTGAGATGATTTCTCCCAGGAGTGCGGGCAGAGCTAATTTCTCGCTTGAATCAGCTCTGGAGAAAGTTAAAGGCATTTCAAAATTGAAAGCACTAGAAGTTGCAAGTCCTACATTTGTTTCTTTGGTGAAACAATCTTCACCCTCTTTTGGACAATCTGTGAGTGCAAATTCAACTAAAATGACGATTGAGTGCCAGGATGAGGTTACTCCCGATCAACCTGCACGAGCATTGCCTTATACTAAACCATCCATGGGCTCCCATTCAATTGAAAGGAAGGCTGAAGCCCCAGAACTACATGTTACTCTTGAACAGCCTAAAGAGTCTAAGTCCTCTTTTAAACCATCCTCTGATGCAAATGAAATAAAAAGGAATATTGAGCCTCAAGAACTTCAGGCTGCTCTTCAACGGTCTCCACAATCTAAGATCATATCCCAGCAAGTATCTCATGCTTCAATATCTGTTCCAGTTTCATATTGCAGTTCCCTGCAAGGATCCCCTGTGCCCATATCAAGGTACCATAGTGCACCTTCAGCCCTTGGCATTACAGCTTTGTTGCAGGATCATGCTGCCTCTAGAAGTGAAGAAGACATCCATGCAGTTACATCACCTCTATCTTCCTCAGCTTCTACATCTCCTTTGACAATGAATATATCTAAACCTCTGCAGCAGAGCCATCCGTCTAGTCAACCACCACCACCCCCTCGACCTTGCACACAATCTTCTAATGAGGCTTCTATAGTAAAGGATGCTTCTGCAACAGAACCTCTTCCTCCACCTCCTCGAGTGACCACAATAGCGAGTTTTGCCCAACAAATTGGAATTGCATTACTGGTTAGAGATCAGTCATCATCCGTTCTGTCTCCTCCTGCATTGTCCCCTCCAGTGAGTTCATCTTCTGCAATCCAAACCTCCCATTCATCTTCCCTTTCTCCTCCTCCTCCTCCTCCTCCTCCATCTCTCACAGTTAAGAGCTCATTTCAACGTCCACTGTCCCCGCCCCCTTCTCCACCCCCTTCTAAATCTTCCCTCGTCTACAACTCATTTTCAGCTCCCCCTTCACCTCCTCCACCTCCGGCTATGGCATCATCAACTACTTGTTCAATTTCTTCTCCACCACAGGTTGGAGTGCCTCCACCACCACCTCTGCCTCATATATGTTCTGCATCTGTCTCGTCTCCTGCTAGTGTATCTTCAGCACCACCACCTCCAGCCAGTCATGTTTCAAGGGGTTCTTTGTCAAATAATTTATCACACGTTGCACCTGTGCCTCCTCCTCCAGCTCCTTGTGCCAATGGATTATCAAGAGCTGGAAGTGTCTCTCAGCAATCACATTCTGGAAGCAATGGTAATATACCTCCAATACCTGGACCACCTTCTGGAAGGGGCCTATCACGCACAGGTCTGAAAAGCCAGGCTCAACCTAGAAAGGCCAACTTGAAACCATACCATTGGTTAAAGTTGACAAGGGCCACGCAAGGGAGCTTATGGGCTGAGGCACAAAAACCTGAGGAAGCTTCCAAGTATGCATCCTTGTCTATGTATCAAGGAACAGTGTCATTCATATAGTTTTGCAGGCATACTTAAAGGCTCTGATTTTATTCTCTGTGCTAGGACTCCACAATTTGACATGTCAGAACTTGAGAGTCTTTTCTCAGCAGCTGCACCAAATTCAGATGATGGGAGCAAGGGTGGAAAATCAAGGCGGGCCTCAGGCCCTAAGTCTGAGAAAGTCCAGCTGGTAACTAGTACATGGTCCTTTTTATTGTTCCTCCTATTTTTGGTTCTCTTGATTGGACTAAGTCTATAGGTTAGCCCTGTTTTAATGTGTCAACCATTGCCATAATTGGTTCTGGCTAGTAATTTTTCATAATGCTTTTGTTTCAGGTTGGACATTAGCATCTAGAAGATACTGGGTTATTTTTGTTAGTGAAAGCTTTAGATTTTAAATTCATCTTAAGGACCCCAAATTAGGTGGAAGGACTATTTCTAAATTTGGAGAAATGTCAGTCTCATTCCTGATATGACACTTGAGCACAAACTGTTAAATATTTGATTCTTCTTGAGCTTTATCTTAAACAGTTAAACTTTTTTTCTTTTTTTTTTTTTAACACAGGAACACGTTGGACAAATTTTTTGGTTGGTTTAGTTCATATCTTAGCAAGCAAAGAAACTTATAAATTCATGTGCATGTATTTCCTCAATTTCAATTATTAATCTTCTTAATTGTTTGCTCCTCCTTTTGATTTTCTGGTAGGATTTTGGTATGTCAAAAACAAAACAAAAGTGGACTTAAATTTGTTTTCCTCATTTTTGTCTCTTTGAATCTAAAAATCTTGTTCTCTTATGCTTCTGTGCAAGTGATGCTAACATTTATCAGTATCTGTCTTCTTAGTATATTCTTAACAATCTTGGGAAATCTGGTCTTTTTCTATCTAATGAGGTATTCATTGGTATTGCAGATTGAGCTCAGGCGAGCATATAATTGCGAAATCATGCTTACAAAAGTGAAAATTCCTTTGCCTGATTTGATGGTGAGACAAAATATATGCTGTTCCTCTAAAAGAAAATTCATCTTATTAATTTCAATAGAAAGTTAAAGTTTTAGTCCATGGTAAGAGAAAATAGTTAACATCTACATAATAACTTGGAGGTTAGATCAGATTTTTTCATCTGATTACCCTTCTCTTTTTCGGCCTTTTCGGGCCCTGGCTAATAAAATTGTCTTTGAGGTTCCACATATCAGTTCAGAGATTGAAGCCCCTAAAATAGCCTTTATTTTTACATTCTTGCTTTGCTGTCAATATCTTGCAGAGTTCAGTCCTTGCCCTGGATGATTCAGCATTAGATGTTGACCAGGTTGAAAACCTTATTAAATTTACTCCAACAAAAGAAGAGATGGAATTACTGAAGGTATTGAAGATATGTTTGTATCTTTTCTGCTATCAGCTCCTCCTGGAACAACATTTTTGGAAGCTTGAAATTTACAGATTTATGTACCCTCCCCCCTCTCTTTCTAGTTTGTATTGGTGCATCTCTCACATCACATGCTTTCCATCTGGTTTCTTTTTGCCTTTTGCAATATCATTGGGAGGCAATCTATAACTTGCTAATAACTATTTTATTTCTGTTTTTTTTTTTTTTTTTTTTTTCTCTTTTCCTGAGATGAAATTGGTTAGTATGTCATGTAAATACTTTCCTTTTGATTGACAGTCATTTTTATCTTCAGGGTTACAATGGAGATAAGGAAAACTTGGGAAAATGCGAACAGGTTGGTAATTTATTTTCCATTTTTCCGGGCAATTCATTTCATCAATAACTTCAAACTCCTTTACAGGTTTTAGCTATTATGAGCAATGGCAGAATATTTCCACTTTATCTGTCCAATTTGTGAATTGAACATCAGAAAAGAGAATTTGCTATTTAATATTAGTTAGCTTGTTGCATAGTTTTTTAGATTTTCGTTGGTATTGAGTTCTTTGTCAGCAAGAACTTGAACAAATATCCTTGTAATTTCATTTTGCATTGTATGCATTTTTTTGATAGTTCTTTTTAGAATTGATGAAAGTGCCACGGGTGGAGTCAAAACTAAGAGTTTTCTCCTTCAAAATACAGTTCTGTTCCGAGGTAAGAGGAAAACCTATTCTATGAAAAAGTACTTTTAGATGCTTTTTTTTTTTTCTTTTTTCTTTTTCTTTTTCTTTTTCTTTTTCTTCATCCCTACTGAATTGGCACTATCTTGTACCAATTTTTTGTTCTGTTTTCCTTTCCCCCTTTTTCCAGGTTTCTGATCTCAGAAATAGTTTGAATATTGTAAACTCAGCAGCTGAAGAGGTAAGTTCTCTTTGCTTCTTATTATTCTCAAGCTTCTCCATTTTATGTGCTATTTTGTGATCATAATTTACACCTTTTTCACCAATGCTCTTATTAGGTTAGGAATTCAGTCAAGTTGAAAAGGATAATGCAAACCATTCTCTCTCTTGGAAATGCTTTGAACCACGGGACTGCAAGGGGTGAGAAATTTCAATGATTACTTTGTTGTTTTCATTAACCATCCAAACACAGAGTATGAATTCAGACATAGAGAAGGAAACATCTGCCATGACCCTTATCTGCTTTGATGATTAAATAACATTAGCATGAGAATTTAAGCATCTTCTATCATCAGGGATATGCTATTAGATTCCTATTTTCATGCTATTCTTTTGAAGATGCTTTGGTTTACATAAGCTGTTTTCATTAAATTTATTACTTCGCTTGATAGGTTCTGCAATTGGATTTAGATTGGATAGTCTCCTCAAACTCACTGACACACGAGCCAGAAACAAGAAGATGACTCTCATGCACTATCTCTGTAAGGTAGATCATCCACCTTTCTTACTTCCACTGATGCATCATCTATGCTGATCAACTCTGTGGCTTCTGAGCTGTAGGTTCTTGCTGAAAAGCGGCCAGAACTTTTAGATTTTCCAAAAGACCTTGTGAGTCTGGAGGCTGCAACCAAGGTTGTTTTTTCTTTTCTACTCAATTTCTGAGAAAATATTAAATTTCAAGTACATATGGTGTATTTTGGCAAGAAAAATAGAAGCTTTAAACCAAGGAACACAATATCACAAGTTTAAGACCAGTCAAATTTGGCAAAAAAATTTAGGGAGGGGGTGTTCCAATTTAGGTGGGATCTTAAATGAGTGACAATACTTAAATTTGGCATATTCTGAGCTGCACGATTGATTGCCATGCAGATACAACTGAAATATTTGGCAGAAGAAATGCAAGCCATTAGTAAAGGGCTGGAGAAAGTTGGGCAAGAACTGACTGCCTCAGAAAATGATGGTCTAGTGTCTGATACTTTTTGCAGGGTAATTCCTTTGGATGCCTTCCCCATTAACCAAAATAATAGACTTTGCTTAACCCAAACTTCTCTTAGCTTGAATACTTTGATTTGACATGGTACTTTATATCGTCTTTGCTTGCTTTTGCTTCTTCATCCTCTTCATACTCTTCCATCCAATAATTACTACGCCTTTTGGAAATGCGTAGACTTTGAAGGGTTTCCTTAGTTTTGCTGAGGGTGAAGTCAAGTCTTTGGCGTCACTTTATTCTAGCGTGGTATGTATCAATAATATCTGTTGGCGGGTTTTCTTTTAGACAATTTTCCTTCCCCATGACATCAAATACAAAAATCACTGAACGTGTTTCTGAAATTTTGATGTGTTTAGGGTAGAAATGCAGATGCCTTGGCTCTTTATTTTGGGGAAGATCCAGCCCGCTGCCCATTTGAGCAAGGTACGTGTTTTCTGGTTTGATCTCAATTTGTCACTCAATCCTGATGTTACTAAATGCCACAATTTATCGAACTATAATATATACATTAATGAATACCTGCAAGCATGTCATGTTCTCTTCGATTCTAGTTACAACATGTTCTCAACTCTATTGATGCTATCTTCTGTAATTCTATAGTGGTATCTACTCTCCTCAACTTTGTGAGGATGTTTGTTCGAGCACATGATGAAAACTGCAAGCAGCTTGAATTTGTAAAAAGGAAAGCACAGAAGGAAACAGAAAATGAGATGCTAAACATGAGTAGTCAAAGTGAGGGATCTGAATGGTTGATGCAGAGTACCATTAAGAGTGTCAACGGTCAATGATAGCTGTTTACCAATAAGCACCGCATATTGCATTGGGAACCGAAGATGTCCTCCCACAAAAACCCATCTGATTTAACAAGGAAAAACAATGAAACCATGACAGGAAAAACACACATGGAAGCTGGAAAGGGTCCCAGAATTGTTGTCAATTTATCATGGAACAGGATGTATATCAGGATGAATTTAAGGAATATTGGAAACAGAAATGCATGTGGGGTAAGGCAAAGATGAAAATCTGGTTTCAGACAGTTAAAGTGTAATCCAACTGCAATTCTAAATGTACATTTCTGCAGTTCGTGAACCTTATAACACGGTTTACTGTTTTGAAGCTGAGATGGAATTGATGAATTCTTGATCAACAAGCCGCTTGTAAGATACCTTTACACAAGTTTTTTATAAAAAGAATAGAATTCTCTTGTAGTTTTATTTATTTCTTATGTAAATTCTTCAGTTATAGGAATGAAAACGTAGAACAAACATCTATATATATTAAAATGATATTAGCAGGATGAAATTTTGTTCCCACTTGGTTTTTGGGAATTTTTCCCCCATAGCAACAGAAACTATGACTTTTCTTAGTTACAGATCTTGTTCAGTTCACAGCATTGGTAGTGTAGATTGTTCAGTCATGGATCTTGCAACTGCAGCAGCTAAGGCTAAGGTGAAGTTGGGGTCTTTTGCTAGGGATGAAACAAAGCCCTCCATTCCTGTCTTATCGCTGTTTCTACTCATTTCCACATCAGCCCCTGACTGATTAAGATCAATGGCGATTCCCTTTACACTTGCTGATTGGAATGGATTATTCATTACAGGACATGACAAAGATTTTCCCAGTGAACGCTCAACACCATGGTTGTGTTCTCCTTCATAGGTTGCAACCAGAAGAGACTTATCCTCCATGGATCTCTGAACCTGAAATCCCAAAATCATTAAATTAAATGATCAACTAAACATACAATCATGTGTGTCAGCATATATATAGATATATACCTTCTTTTTAACAGGACATCCAGGAGACATGGAACATCTGTAATAAGCTCGAGGAGAAGTGTTGTCTTTGGTAACTTTCTGCCCATATTTTCTCCATTGAAAGCCGTCTCTAACAATCTAACATCATCATAAAATATTAAAATACTAAGTCATCCATGATCTTATGTAAGAACCTGAACAGAACAAGCAATAGTTGGGACAAAAACAGAAGCAGCAGCGAATGAGTTAATTACTAGGCTCTTGTCCTTAGGGTCTGTCTTGACAAAGATTTGCGAAGATTTAGCCATGGAAAACTCGGTTCTTGGTCTCTTGAAGGAGTCATTGTATAAATCAACATGCTGAGTTAAGCTACCGTTTCCTTTTGTTTGGTATGAAAGATTCAATTCCTGCAAATGGGCTCGTAGGATGTTGTACCTATTGCTTATTGCTTGAAACATCAATCGAAGATCTTCATTTTCTTTCCTTAGATTCTCCACCTCTTCACGAAGTGCTCCCACCTTAAACATGAACTCAAACAAGTTAATTTCTAAGAAAGAAAATATCAAAATATATATTCTTAACTAATCTTCTCAATATATACTCGAGTTTTCTCTATTCTGTCAATTGCATGAATACCAGTCTAACAACATTTACGCTCATGCATGAACAGAAAGAAAGAAAGAAAGAAAGAAAGAGCTGAACAGTTTTACCTTGTCTTGGTTAGAAGTTTGAGAAGCCATGAAAATAGGTTGAAAAGAACTTCAAATTAAGGTTATAACCAGATTGCAATATAAAGAAGAATAAGTTGTTATTAGCCGCCACGTCTTGTTCACGCAGCCTCCACTGATGGATGAAGAAGATCAAACTTCAAAGTTGGACTGACTGAACCAGTGGTGGCTGAAGAACAACATTAAGTTTGGTCAAGGTGGTTGGGAATGAAAATATGGTGGTTTCCTGGTATTTTAATTAGGTTAGAATCTGGAAATTTTTGTCCTTAAAAGAGTTGGAATCACATGAGGTAAGTCTTGATGGCGATGTGATGCATGCATTAATATAGTTTAATTACATATTGTGGTCCATATGGCTCCACAACCTTGGATTTCTAGAATGCAAACAAAATTTATTGACTTGAGTCTTCTTGGTTTTTTTCCCACTATGCTTTTTCTTTGGTTTCTTAGTGGACACTGATTGCATGTAGAAAAAACCTTGTTCCTTTTCTTGATGATGAAAATCGCTATTATTTACATCTACATTAACAACAAAGAAAGTCTACATTTTATTCCTTTGTGCAAAAACCCCTTTTGCAATTCTTGTATGTATCCAGATTTAAATTTTTTAGATTTGAGGCATCTAAAATTTTTAATTACTAGTTGAGAATAACCTTTTTGATATAAGAAAATATTTGATATATTATTTGATTTAACACATTTATTAATACTTATTGGTTAAGTAATTAAAATTAAAAATTAAAAATTTTTTCATTCAAATTTAAATTTAAAACTAATAAATATATTATAAAATGTGTTGAACTAAAAAATATATTAATTATTATCTTTTCGTATAATATTAAAATAATTTGAGAATTATAAGTGTTCAGTGTCCCTCAAGTTTTGCGTTCGACTTAGGTTTAAGAATTTTCATATGACCCTTGCTTTGTTTTGCTTTTTTTTTTTTTTTTTAATTGAAGAATAGAGAGGAAGGAATATGCTTTTTGAATTGTACCATTTCAATGTGTAAAACGTGTTGTCTCGAGATAAAGAGAGTACAGAAAGTAATATGAACTCTTGAAAAAAATTGCGAAAAGAAACAAAGGAACCCGAACGCAGTACAAAAACCAAAGCAGCCAAACATTATAAGTCACATCAATTCTCATAAAGAAAAACTCTCTTAACATTTATTTTTCATTTATAAGATTCAAATTTAAAATTTTACTTAAATAAATTAAACTTTATTCACTCGAATCAATAAATCGATGATGAAATTTAATTTGATGATTATACTGTAAATCTCTCTTAAGAAATTTAATTTTTATTTGCTGATTAAAAAAGTTTTTCTTTTTCACTTATTGGGGGGATAAGGATGGATAAGAAGGTGTTGTAGAAAGGTAAAACGAAAACAACCGATGTGGAATATTTTTTTGGCAGAATGGTAGACTTGAATTGAGAATGGTCCAAGTCCAACACGTGGTTAGATTTATTGTAGTAAATGCGACATCAAAGTTCTATGTTGACTTGATCCAACTGAATCTTGGACTATGAGTCTTCGAAACACGGTTTTGTTCCCTGTTGAAGAAGTAGAAAAGAATTCAGTGTAGCAGATATACCACGTTATCCATATCTTTAGATTTTTTTAGTTTAAATGGTTAGAAATTTCTCAAGATAAACTTGCAAGTACATTCTCCATTAAGAGGTGTTCAATGTATACTCTTAACATCGGATACATTCAAAAAAAAAAATTTTTTTTTAAATGTTAATTTTAAAATTTAAATTTTAAGATTTGAATTATAGATGATGAAGTTATTATCACATATTAAATAGTTAATATCACATTTTTTTAATATAATTACTTATTATACATTTACATTATATTTTTTTTCAAAATTTTATTTTGTTTTGTTTCTTAATAATTAAAAGATATAATGATCAATTAAGATAAAAATATGTGACATTAATACTTAAGAATGTGACAATAACACTACCCTTAAATCATATCCTTGGACGTTAATTATTATATTATCGTTATCTTAATTAATAGTAGAAACTTTACCTATAAAAGGTTTTCAGGACATATTAACAAAAAATTGGTGCTGTGACACAGGAAACCTATGATGCCACAAGAAAAACTTTAAACCATGTCAAGTTCTATTGTTTAGGAATATTGTTAATGTGATATCTCTAGTATATTGAAAATTTTCTCAAGAAGAAGATTCGTGCTAATTTTATTATTGTTATAAAAGTAAGGCTTCCTCTTGAAATGCTTTACATCGATCTTTTCATATAACACATTAATTAAAAATGTAAATTTATTATTAATAATTAATTTTAATTAAAGTTTTATATATTTTAACTAATTTTATTTTCTTTTGGTAAAATACCAATTTTGTCCCTCAACCTTAGGGTTTTGTGGAGTTTTTGTTTTTCAATTATTTTAAGCACTTTTTTAGTCCTTTAACCCTAAAAAATGTACTCTTTTTGTCATTATTGTAAGTTAATTTATTAAATATGTTCATATATATACATATTTTTAATCTCTGAATTTATGAATTTAGGGGTTAAAAATGTGTACATACTATAAATTTAAGGACTAAAAATGTATATATTTAAATATATTTAATAGATCAACTAATGAAAGTACTAAAAACGATATATTTTTTAGATTTAAGACATCAAAAAAGTGTTTAAAATAATTAAGGGGCAAAAAATGCAAAGCCCTAAAGTTGAGGGACCAAAATTGACATTTAACCTAATTTTTTATATATTTTTACTAATTTTATTAATCTTTTATATATTTTGGGCATAGTAAAAGACAGAAAAACCACAACTCCACCTTCAACAGCCCAATATAACACTTCTAAACAAAGCTTTAAGTGAACTATTAATTGATAATTAGTAGACAATTACTAATAAAGTTTGAAGTATTATGAAAAAAATTTATGATAAATGTTTCACTTTTCTCATCTTCCACATCTCCAATTTCTCGTGCTTACAGCCGAGTGATAGTGATTAACTCCCCACTTTTTCATACATTTAAGTGGTGATGAATATTTATTTAGTGAATGATTTATCCTTGTAAATCTTATCATTCTTCTAGTTATTAAATATGGAACTTGTAACTTGTTTGAAAATGATATGGAAGAAAGATAAAGAATAAAATTCCTTATGATCTCTTTGTCCCTTTGTCTTCTATTTCACAGTTTTTATTCTACTTGTTTTCTTTATTTTCTTTATTTCACAACATGAAAGTGAAAGCTATAACATAAATTATAATTATGAAAAATTAGTTGGGAAATTAAGGGCTATTTGGTGTGGTTGAAGCTTTTAATAGAAATCATGTTAGAGAGAATCTGTTACAGAAGTGCTGTTTTTGAGAAGTTAGAAGTGTTTGGTAAAATTTTTTATAAAAATACTTGCAAAGTGAAAAGTTGTTTGATAAATTTTTTTATAAAAGATTTTTTAATATTAAAATGACTGAAATAGACATTATTTATTTTTTTTATCACTCTCACTTTATTTTTTTATATTTTTATATGACTTTAAATTTATAATTAGTTTAAAGTTGATGATTAAAAATTAATTATTCAAATTTTAAAACATAAATGTTAGATAAATATTTATATTTTAA